TAGATTTATTTTATTTTTTTAGTATTAAAACCAATTAACTTAAGCTTTCTAAACTGGAGATTGTATGGTTCTGTTCAGTACAATTGCTTCAAAAAATGTATCTTCTGACCAATTTGTCAACCTATTTCTTATAATTAAACTAGTATAGAGCTATTATTCTCAATTATCATTTTTCCTAAAAATGCTTTTTTGTTTATTTTGCATAAAAAAATGAAATAGAAACATATTATTTATGTTGGATGCAGTATGGAGGTCAAAGGTCAAAAAGGCAGCAGAGGATAAGATGCTCTGCAAACTCAGAAATTACACAACAGAAACTCATCCATCCATCCATCATCCATCCATCCATCCATCCATCCATCCATCCATCCATCCATCCATCCATCCATCCATCCATCCATCCATGATTCATTCCTAACAAATAAAATGAAATAGCAGCAGAAATGAGAAAACGCAATAAATTTGCTTTTATTCTCCTACTTTTTCCTTCTTCCTTAAGAGATGACATCATGGTTTCAGATAAGACAGAAGCGATGGCAGCTACTACTGTATGCATAGATCCCTTCCTAAACCATAACACTGCAACCTGAATAGTCGACCCATTTTGGGCCGGATGGAGTGATGCAGATATGTTCTCATGTGTTTGTGAACTTGCAAATAAAGAAATAGTTCAGCTTGCAGCGAAGGTTATGGAGAAAGACTCTAGGGAATTTAACCCACAACCTTCTTGCTGGAAAGCAAAAGTGTTACAAACTGTGCCAGCCTGCAGCCCCAAAAACATAGCATTCGCAGAAAATACACATTCTCTGCTCATTTGCTCATACACAATCATATATACATCCGGGTTGTCTTATATATATATAGGAAGTTTACTAAACTAAGGGAAACTAGTTAATAATATATTTCTTAAGAAAATAAATGCCTTAAAGTTGTTTCTATTTTATCACACATCTGTGGTAGATCTGCACTGGAATTCGGATCCCACGCTATTTCCAGGAGCTAACTTTTTCGGTGTTGGATTTAAACATAAATCTAAACCTTTTACTTGTATGTTTTTCTTTTGGTGTTAATGTTATGGTATATAGTGTGTAACCTAAAGAAAGAAATATTAATTTTAGTTCCATAATTCCATTATTCATGGAAACCCGGATATATATCTGGGCTGATGGTACGGATCGTTCTTCCAGGATGGATCAGGTAGTGACCGTATCTTTTGTTTTCAGCTACAAACTTCTTCTAAGGATCCTGTTAAAGTCTTTACAGAAGATCTGATCCCATCTGGAATCCCCCTAGTGGAATTTTTATTTTTTCAGTTTTTTTCATTTTGCAGCATGTTTTTAAATATATTTTGACTTCCTTTTATTTTCTGATTGAAACATTTATTTTCTGTTTTCTATGCAGCATTTTTTTCTTTTGCCGTGCTTTTCTGTTACATTTGTGTTTCTAAATTTGCATCAGTGGAGTTTTTTGTGCGACTCATGTGTTCACATGGAGTGTTGCCGTTAGCTGAACCCAAAAGCCACCATAATAAATCATCCAAGATGAGAAAAATAATATCTAAATAATGTTTCTAAAACTAACATTTTATAAAGTTGATTTTCTTGTAGAGTTGAAATACAGAGTGTTGCTGACCTAAATAGTTTTACTTGTAAAGTGTCTTTTAGAAGTATTCACAATTTTTGATCTTTTCCACATTACAGCCATTAAGCTCAGTCTTTATTATTAAGATTATATGAAAGAGACTAACACAAAGTAGCAGTAAAGTAATGCTGGATCACATGTTATTGTCTCCTTTCTCTATAATTTGTAGAATAATCCATAGAATCATAACTCTCACCGCGGCCCAGGTCCTTCCCTGATCTAAGCAAAGTAGCCTTGATAAGCCAAACGATGATTCAGTCCTAATGAGCTGTGTGGAGAGAAGGAGTCTATCAGTGTTGTATTGATTCCAGGACATGGAGCCCAGATGTGATAGGATGACACTCAAACTGAAATGCCAACAAACACACTGTACTGCAACCTGCTAATTATATCCTCCGGGGGATTTTTCCTTTTCTTCCAACAATAAAGATGTTGGCAGAATAACAGACGGTGGAGCGACTGAGTGCAGCTTGGAGTCGCTCTTTTCCTCCTTCCTGGAGCAGCGTCACACTACGACTCAGCCAGTGCTTTGAACTTAACTTCAAAAGAGATCAAATATACGAAAATCATTTTCTGAGCTGTTGCTGGAGAAACATAGCCGAAGTCTTCAGCAAACAGAAATATTCTTCGTTCCTCACAAAAATTGCCATCTAATATCTGTATCTAAGTAATTGGCTGCAGCTGTGAAACAGAAATGAGGTCATGAGTTTTTGATACTCTGCTTGGCTCTTGGATGCAACGGGTGACAAATGATTGCCATTTCCTCACTTGGTGATGCTGTAAGCAGCAAATGTTTCATGGGTCACTTCACTCCATACATGCAGTCAGATTTTTGTTAGTTAACAAGTTAAAGCTTCAATGTTACTTTTGGAAGCTTCTGCAATTGTTTTTCTTGTTATTCTATTCCTTCAAAGCTTTTTCCTTTTCGGTCCTTTAATTTCATCATGGTTTATCTACTGTAGAGTCAGCAAGTGAGCCAACATGTGGTGTCATGAAAGAGACGACACAGATAAACAAACAAACCGTATGTTGATATTAATAGAGATGTCAGCATCTGCACTTTTTGTTTTTCTATATCCATTTCCTGACACAGAAACTAATGAGTGCCACTGCTAATCTCAACCCCAGGCTCAGGTGAAATAAATATGAATAAATCAGATGAGGTACAGTTCAGAAAGTCTTTATTAAATCAGCAATATTTGATGGAATTATTAATTTCTCTAATTCTGCTCGGCATTCAGATCTATTATTTCCTGATTTCCAAATATCCAGCAATGCTCTAATCGTCAGCCACGTATAGCACCGTTATTTAATGGAACAAATTATCTGCAGTAATTTGATATAAAGGAAGTTTGGTGCAATATAATCCAGCTCCAAAAAAAAACTTTTTTTTCTAACATTATTTTTGTTTTTACATGAGACAAATGTCACAACAAAAAATATTCAAAACAAACATAGATTTAAAACAGATTTTCTAAAATTTATTTTGAACTTCAGTGAGAATACTTACAGAGGATACAGGGTGTGAAAGCTCTTTGATACCTTCTGAAAGGCAAAAGCCAGGAAAACGCCTGTGAAGAGCAGAAAAGACGGGTTTATGGGTGT